TAACGATTTTAAATTGGCTCACTACTTGACTAGCCTATTGGTCCCAAGCAAACGATTAACGTACCCCATTCTAGTCGAAATTCTAGTACTACGCAATGTTTGTTTTGATTCGCTATGAAAGTTTGACAGATAAAATGAGGGGTTAGTGGATTTTCCTATGTTTCGAGGGGTGAATCGATTAGCTTGGGACCGAAGATAGTACCAGAGCTGAGCCAAAAAGTTGAGCACATTTCTTCGGGACCTACTGGTCTTAGAGTTACCTCTATGATAAAAGTGTGTATTATTTCATGTTACCCCATATAGTGGGGTTAGTTGAAACACTTATTATACAGCAGTTGAACGATGATGTAAAACACGTTTACTCATGTATAAATTACCCTTTGTGGATATTATAAACCCCTGGCGGCCTGGCGGGATTAAAAGTATCTCCCAAAGTGTACGGTTTATTTTTTTTCCTTGTCGGGTATTTCCATCACTGCAACCATTTTTCTGATCTATTGTGATATATTCCCCATTTTTTTTTAGCTATTTAAATATGCCGCCATCGCTTGACCAATAGCATTATCCCAGCACGCCATTATACTTCGAATAAAGTGCACTGCTGTACTGGGAGTTGTTCTCCAAATGTCAAAGGGTTTTATCAGCCCCTTGTCGAAGAACTGACACCTTTTATTGAAAATTGCCAGACAGTGGCATAGCAAATGTTCCGAGTCTTCCTTTTCTATGCCACAGAAGTGATATACATCATCTTGAAGTTTACCAATCAGCTTCAAGTGATAACGGCTCGGACAATGACCTGTTGTAAGACCTGCATATATACTAAGATCTTTTCTTAGAAAGTTCCAGGATTTTGTGGGTCACAGAAATGTTTGGATTAATGAATTGCTTCGAATGCCTAGTAATAGAAGTGTTCTTCCAGTTTTCCTCCACTTTTGAAGATTCCCACGCTTTTAGCCCCATTCTAAAAGATGCAGCCGATAAGCCACAAAAGGGCTCTGGCCCTATGAACTTATGAGAAGATCCGAGTCTTGCTAGTGCATCGGATCTTTCATTTCCCTCAATCCCGCAATGACCAGGAACCCACTATAAGTTGACTTGATTATGACAAGACAATTTTTGAAGTGATTGAACACACTCCCAGACAAGCTTTGATGTACATGTCGCCGACTTTAAAGCATTTAGAGCAGCTTGACTGTCGGACATGACGCATATATTTGAACTCTTACAGTTTCTACGCAAACATATAACGGAACACTCTAAAATTGCATGGATTTTAGCTTGGAACATGGCTTGGCCATCTGCCCATAGGAACCGATATTTCTATCCCTGGGCCAGTTACTCCTGCTCCCACTTGATTGTTCAATCTTGAACCATCTGTATAAAGAAAATCGATCCTGGACAAAGAACCGGGCCACCAAATTGCCATGAATTACCACCCAGGGTCAACTACTTGAAAAAGTCGATTGAAATTGTATCTTTTCTCGATCCAGTCTTCGTTGTTCCTTACTAGAGAGTTGATACTAACAGTTTTTAGAATCCTAAGATCTCGTCTAAGGTCTCCTTCAAAGAGTTTCACTGACCTTGTAATCCTTAGAGCACACTTTTCGGCTTCTAATTGTACCATGATACAATTGTGATAATTGATGATAATTGTACAAATGATACCAATTGCTGTTGTCGTTACGTTTTGGTCTTCGTTTGAATTAATAATAGAACATAGAAAATGCGTTCTCATCATCAGCTCTAACGTTTTATTTGTAAAAGTAGTAAAAGAGCCATCCTCTTTTTTCAAAGTGCTCAGACCATTGGAATGATCTTTAGCGAGTATTTTCTGCAACCTAGCAGTTGCTGGAGTATTTTCAATGTTCTCACATGTATGCCTCCAGTGTATCCTCTTTGATCTCCGTATTTCCTTATTATAAGTGGTGAGGGATTTCTTATATTGTTCCCACTGTTGTGTTCGTTTAGCCCTATTGAAAAGCTTCCGGGTTTTTTTACGAAGTTTCTGTACTGTAGTGTACGGTTGGTAGTGTAGTACAATGAAATAAACATTTAACAAAATACTTTCAATTGTTGACAACTACTCGCAATATAAATGTAATTTATTAGCAATATGAACATATTTAGTGTTACTACAATAAGTTGACCCCAGTCTGTCTGTAAATGCATAATACATTTATGCGTTATAATAATTTGTAACAATGAAAAACATTTTAAATGATCGGATAGAGCAACAATCAATTACTCGTCATCTATCACTACTATTTCTGGTTTGTCCTCCAACCAACTGCACTGTTTTTTTTGTAATGAGATTGTGACAATCATCATCCATTTTAACTTGCTCCTGTACTCATTTCATTTTATCCTATGGGGTGCAAAAATATGGGGCAAGTTGAAATGCTTTAAATATTTCGGAAAATTAGTGTGACTGAAATTTTGTGTGCAATCACTCTAACTGGCCTTCATATGTACATCACTGGATTAAATTATACAAAATTCATCTTTTTGGGGAAGAACTACTTCCAACTACTTGTTTTAACAGTAAAAAAAAATGCATATAGGTGCTTATTACACTGCGTAGTTCCACGCCAAATGACGAATCGATCAGACGCGACCTTCTCCGATTTGAATGAAACTTTTCATAATTGTTTGTTATGGTCAATCATGTACATTTGAGCTTAAATTTGGCGATTTTGAATCTTGTAAAAAAACTTCAAAATGGCGTATTCAAAACTTTGCAATAAACCATAACACGAAATCGTTATTTCCAATCAAAATGACGTCTGAGACAAAATTGTAGGAAAAATAATGCTTTTCAGAAAAAATATAAAAGATTCACCAAATTAATGTAACTTTTGGTACAAATCCATAAAAGTGTTAAAAACTTTAATAACAGAAAATGACCCTCTTCAATATTTTTGAACCATTTTTATTAAAAAGCATACTCAAAGTTCTATTGTATTGTGAAATTTTCAAGTTGAACACTTAAAAATTGACAAAAATCATGGCATAAATTTAAGACTTGTTGTTTATATGCATTAGTTTTTGTAAGTTTTTTCACAGAAAACAATTTATTAGGTCTAAGCAATCAAATTGTGTGCAACAACATACCAACAAATTGTTTTAACAAAAAGTTAAAACATTTGACTAGAAGTTCTTGTTCTATGATATTTATCAATTTTTAAGTGTCCATTATGAAAAATTCTATTTTTTGTGAAATTTTCATGTTGGACACTTCAAAATTGATAAAAATCATAAAACAACAACTGTTAATTAAATATTTTAACTTTTTGTTTAGACGATTTTTTGGTATATAGTTGAACACAATTTAATTCTTTGGACCTAATAAATTGTTTTCTGTGAGAAAACTTGCAAAAAGTTGTATAAACAAAAAGTTTTAAAGTTTTTCCATGATTTTTGTCAATTTTTAAGTGTCCAACTTGAAAATTTCACAAAAAATAGAACTTTGAGTATGCTTTTTAATAAAAATGGTTCGAAAATATTAAAGAGGGTCATTTCTGTTATTAATGTTTTTAACACTTTTTAGATTTTTTACCAAAAATTTCGTAAATTTTTTTACCATTTATATTTTTTCTGAAAAGCATTTATTTCTTCCTACAACATTGTCTCAGATGTCATTTCGATTTGTTGTGGCGTTTTCGTGGATTTATTGAAATATTTTTAATACGCCATTTTGAAAATTTTTGCATGATTCAAAATGGCTTAATTTCAGCTGAAATGTGAATCATTTTTATTTATATATAAAGTTTTATGCAAATCGGAGAAGGTCAAGTCTGAAAATCATTTTTTTGCTATTTAGCCTGGAACTACTCTGTTCAATCACAGTGATATCACACTTCTGCTAATAGTTACGCCTTTCTTTTCAACTTACCCCGGTGTACCTTATTCAAGCATAAAAAATTATAAGAAAAAATGTTTCACCCTGGCAAAGGTTTTCCGGATTTTCCATGCGGGTTTTTCGTGGATTGCTGAGATGATTTACTTATGCCACGGATACACTTGTATGAGAATCTATGAGCATAAGCATTATTTGTATAATAATTATGAGCACTTAGCATAAACTAGTAATCCTGACCAAGATTACCAATAGATTTTTTTTTTCAAAAACGATTTTTTTTAAGTCAATTTTTGAACCGCACGGCCGATTCCAAAGATCAAAATATAAAATGAAAGGTAATTAAAAATGCTTCTTAGGAGAAATATGATGATAATACTCTAATTGTCTTTTTTGATTTATGTTAGCTATGTATCAATGGAGACGTATGGTAGTCTAGTCGCTAAGGAGTATTGAGTAAAAACCCAAAACTTGATAACTGATAACATCGCTGATTTTTTTAAATTTTGTGTAAAAAAGAGAGAATATCTATTCGTATTACTATGTCCTAAGGATTTCCTATATACATGGAACTGCGAATAGCGTTGGTATCCACAACCTATTTCCACTTATCTCCAACTCTTCCTGGGTCTCTCCTTAAATGATACTGCAAAATAATTTGAATATCCAGCTAATTTGTCAAATCTTACTTAAGGCTCACGCACATTTGTTTCGTTTGCGAAGCGTTGATGCAAATTTGATAGTTAGACAATAGATTGAGCTTTTATTTTGCAGGAACGTATTACAACCGGATCAAATGTGCGTGACACTTTATGCATTGTGCGCCGGCCTTCAACCGTTTGCACTTAGCGAAATGGAATCCTTTTAGATGAATTGGAACAGCATTTCGCTGCTGACCTTATATTTTATTCTAACTGCATAATACTCCAGATAGTGGTCATTTGAATTTCATAGACTTAACAACTAATCAATAATCCAAAAAGGCCAATAATTCGGTCAGCGTCGCATCCTGATTTATCCAAAACTGAATTGAGGCACACCAAATTTTATGCAATTCAACTGTTTATTCCTGTGGTGATGTTTCCTCATAATGTTCAATGATTGGGATATTTTGTGGTTTTGTTCTTGATCTCTCAATGAAAATGTTCTATTCGGAATAAATTTGTAGATGGAAGCATCACAATAGTAAGCGGCTAAATACATAAAAAAAACTGTTCTAATAAAACAACGTAGACAGGACCTTCACCCCTCCCCCCCCCGTAGACAAACGTAGACATTTTTGGAACCCCTCCCTCCCCCCAACCGTCTACGTAGTTTATGGACAGCCCCTATCTGCCTGATATGATATGACCTATACCATACCTATAAAAACTGAAACACATCTAGGCAGAAATTCTATAGTTCAAATTTCATTTTCTAATACAATAAGTCAGAGAACCATCTGGCTATCAAGACAATTGAAAGCACATTTACAATACCTTTCTCTTCAGCGATTCTCTGCTTCAAAGAAGGCATTTTACTTTGGTGCGTTTCCTACACAGTCAGACGTAAATTTTCAGTTTGCAAAAATAAAACAGTCGTCAATGCATTTATAATGTCATTTTGCAGAAGATGATAACATCCTTTTACAAATAAGAGTTTTCATGGTTTTAATTTCAAATTAAATAGACGATAGTAAAGTGATGTTAAAAGCATTATTTTATCCTTGATTTGGTACAAGAAGTAGGCATATTTAGTCAATGAAAGATATGCACACAAATACACCAACACTTCGAAATGTGAATCAGAAGCTGCAAAACTTCAAATAAAACACATGAATTTTCCATCATCAACTCTTCCCTGAAAATGTTTGGTGGCCCTGAAAAGGGCCGTTTTGTTGCCTGGGTTTTTTATGCTGATTTAACCTCCGAAACCGTACAGAGTGCGGCCTTGTCGCTTCAAAGCGTAGACGACGTCCATGGCCGTGACGGTCTTGCGCTTGGCGTGTTCAGTGTACGTGACGGCATCTCGGATCACGTTTTCCAGGAACACCTTGAGCACACCTCGGGTTTCCTCGTAGATGAGGCCGGAGATTCGCTTGACACCTCCACGGCGAGCCAGACGACGGATGGCGGGCTTGGTGATACCCTGGATGTTATCACGAAGAACCTTTCGATGACGCTTGGCACCTCCTTTACCAAGTCCTTTACCGCCCTTGCCACGACCAGTCATTGTAGCTTGATATAATAAACTGTGCTGAACAGATTGAACGAAACGTATGCAGTCTGATACAGCTCGCTGGCTCTTATATACCTTCCAGGCTCTTGTAGGATTTACATTTACATATTGTAGTTTATAGCGAGCTCCTGTCTGTGTATAATCGATTATAATTGATGACAGTACACAGGCAGAAGCTCACTATAAAAGCAATCGTCAGTGAGGTCGTCACCTCATAGACAGTATCTTTTTCGACTTTCAAACATCACCAGCACAATAATGGCCCGTACCAAGCAAACCGCTCGTAAGTCCACCGGAGGAAAGGCTCCTCGTAAGCAGCTGGCCACCAAGGCTGCTCGCAAGAGCGCTCCAGCAACCGGAGGAGTGAAGAAGCCCCATCGCTACCGGCCAGGAACCGTCGCGCTGCGGGAGATTCGTCGTTATCAGAAATCGACCGAACTGCTGATCCGCAAGTTGCCTTTCCAACGTCTGGTCCGTGAAATCGCTCAGGACTTCAAGACCGATCTGCGCTTCCAGAGCTCGGCCGTCATGGCCCTGCAGGAAGCGAGCGAGGCCTATCTGGTCGGTCTGTTCGAAGATACCAACTTGTGCGCCATCCACGCTAAGCGTGTCACGATCATGCCAAAGGACATCCAGCTGGCTCGGCGTATCCGCGGTGAACGTGCTTAATTTAAATATGGCTCCCGAGATCGCATGTCTTTCAACAAAACGGCCCTTTTCAGGGCCACAAATCATATCAGAAAAGAGTATCATTTAGGAACTATATCGCGCTTTGTTTGAAGGTGATTCCTTGAAGCGTCCAACTATGGCCGGTCGTTATAGCTGATATCTAGATAGAGGAAGTTTTTCCCTGCCCGATGGTGTGGTTGATTTGCGTTGGCGAACCTTATCTTTCTAGAAATCATCGAAAGAAGTCATTATTTACAAAAGTTGCTACGCCCTAATTCCAGCTCTATCTAGATATGCCCTATCACTTCAAGTCTTCTAAAGAACAAATCTCGGGCAGTGTTGTGACATCGCTCATGACAATGGACAATTGTGTGCTGCACCGCAGCAAACATGAAGTTCAAGTTTCATTGTTGTACCTTTGTTTTGTGAAAGCTGATATTTGTGCTCTTGAAATTTCGAGGTGATATTGAGAGTTATCAGAAGTAAGGTTTCCGTAGAGATCCACTGCCATTTTTCTATCACGAATACATGAATAGCTCAAAGCAAATGAATTCGGTAAAAGGTTTTAAAGTTTAACGGTTGAGAGTAGGAACACAAAGAGATGCTACATAAAAATTACTCACTTATTCAAGCTAAGAACCACCATCATCTATATAGTATATAATCACCACATGTATGTTGGTTTGAAAGCGGTGATGCTCTTTTAGATATTTTGGCGCGATATCTCAATCCACGTAGAGGTAATAAGCACAAAATATGATAATATTATATAATACCTACACTGTTGTCGTTAGGCTGACATCATTAAATTTAAATTATTAAAAAAAAAACATCTTTCGCTAAGCTGATTTAGATCTACAAAGGATCTAAATCTTAATGGATTACTGTTAAAATATGATTTTAAAAGATAGAATATCAATTCCAGTTCGTTTTGGCTTTATCACTTTTTTTACGTAGACTGCGTCTTACGGGAAGGTAAAACAAAAATCCAAAAATGCGACCGTCACGAAAAGGCGTTAGGTTTGAACGCATATTCCTTTGTGATTTATAAATGAAATTAAAATCCAAATGCACCAACCGATAAGAAATAGCTCTACGATTCTGCTGAAATAAGTATGTTTTAAGCGTGGATACTAAATCGTGCTATTAGAATTTGAATCTTGACAATGTTCAAATGAATACTCTTTGACCTTCAATCAGCCGTTGGACGTGATGGATGTAATAAATCTAACCCACCCTTTTTAAACAGAAAATTGCTTTTACATTCTTATGAAGCAGCAATAAAACAAACTCATTTTCAAATGATTGTAGTCGCCCTTAAAAGGACGGTTTTGTTTGTTTTTCGAGAGCAAATAATTCTGCAACTTAGACCTTCTTCTCGGTCTTCTTGGGCAACAGGACGGCCTGGATGTTTGGCAGGACACCACCCTGAGCGATGGTCACTCCGGAAAGCAGTTTGTTTAACTCCTCGTCGTTACGGATGGCCAACTGCAGGTGGCGTGGAATGATTCTGGTCTTCTTGTTGTCACGGGCCGCGTTTCCTGCCAACTCGAGAACTTCAGCGGCCAGATATTCCATCACGGCAGCCAAATAGACGGGAGCACCGGCTCCAACGCGCTCGGCGTAGTTGCCCTTCCTAAGCAGACGGTGAATACGACCGACTGGGAACTGCAATCCTGACCGGCTCGAGCGGGACTTTGCCTTTCCCTTAACTTTTCCTCCTTTGCCACGGCCAGACATGGTTCGACTTAGGGTAGGGTAGATTGCGGTTTGAAAATGAAACGAGCAGCTGAATGCCGAAATTGTTATGATGTCGTTTTATCTCGTCGATGATGCTGATATACCTGCGCCGAGTAGCGTATTTTGTGTACAAGGAGGGTTCAACCACCTATACAAAGGCGTAGTCAGGTTTCAAACTCTGTCTACGCCTTTGTCACTATATAAAGCAAAATACAGAAAAGAGGACGAGTGTTGGTTGCTATTCTACGAGTATCAAAAGAGACAACCGGCAGTGTTAAAACATATTAGTTATTCCCTACCCAAGTGGACAGCTTTACCAACAATGGCACCGAAAATCAGTGGAAAGGCCGCCAAGAGGTCCGGCATGGCTCAGAAGGTCGTCGTCAAGGGCGAGAAGAAGAAGAGGAGGCAACGCAGGAAGGAAAGCTATGCCATTTACATCTACAAGGTGTTGAAGCAGGTCCACCCTGATACCGGAGTTTCGTCGAAGGCCATGAGCATCATGAACAGCTTCGTCAATGATATTTTCGAACGTATCGCTGCTGCGTCGTCCCGGCTGGCTCAGTACAACAAACGCTCGACGATCACCTCCCGGGAAATCCAAACCGCTGTTCGTCTGCTGCTGCCGGGTGAACTGGCCAAACATGCCGTCTCCGAAGGAACCAAGGCCGTCACCAAGTACACCAGCTCCAAGTAAATTTGCATCACCTATTCAAACAATCGGCCCTTTTGAGGGCCACAAAACGATTCAGTGAAAGAGTTAAATTTGGAAAACAATTTCTTCTTTGTGAAGGGGTTATTGGGTGCTTCGTCAGGGTCAGGGTGCCTTCCATTCATTTTGACTAAAAAAATGTTTTAAGAAATTATGGAATAATAAGACATAATGAAAATATTTTGATTATGTAAACAACAAGAAAAGATTGTTAAGTTTGTGTTTGACACATAATACCTGCCAATTTTGCCACATGAGAGTCGCAATAAGCGATTTTGTAATTTATCTCACCCACTCTTCGCTCTTCACTCTTCGCGAAGAGGCGATCAGAAAAACGCTCATTGTGACTCTGTAAAAGCTAAATTTGCTGGTTTGATGTGTGAAACACAAACTTTACAATCTTTTCTTATTACTTACACATACAAAATATCATCATGATATCTCATTATTCTATAATTTCATAAAACATTTTTTTAGTCAAAATGAATGGAAGGCACCCTGGTCAGGGTTTGTGCACTGTTAATGCCTACGGTTACGGTTGATGATGATGGAATTTAGTTTATTTGCACTAGGAATTTTCAATTAATTAGTCTGTTTGGCTCTTCATCTTAAGTTTGATTGGTAAATTGGTTATTCTAGTTTTAATCTTTCGTTTATCAACTATTAGGTATACACAAAATGCATCTCATGATTTGAGCTCAGACAGGCGTCTCTGAATCTTTCGAGGATGAACATTTTCCATGGTTAAAGTTCAGTGATCGTGCTTATGTTTCAGTTGAAATTTGTCATAAAGACTTTGTCCACGTTACAATTATTAGGTATGTGGAATGATGCAGACGCCGTCCATTTTTGATTGGATGTATAGCATTAGGGTGCTTCATTTAAAAAAAATGTTAGATTTCATATAGGCCGCCCTTCGATTCATAACCCCAAAACACTAGTCTGTGCAAAAAATGTTAAAGATTGATGAAGGTTTAGAGGTCGTGCAAATGGTTTGAAATTTGAATGGGAGTTACTATGGAAGCATTTTAAATTACTCTAACGGAAAAAATAAAATAATATGTGGCTGCTATACTGATGTTGTTACAATCAATTTGGCAGCAATTCAAGGAAGATAGATATGTAAAAAAATGGCAAAATAGGGTGAATTGATAAATAAAACAGCAAAAAAAGTGAAGTAATGAAATTGGGTTGTTAGCGGAATGCTAAATAAAATAGCAAAAAATGTTATCTTCCGTTTAATCCCGCTTAATTAATTTTGGTATCCATAACAGATACGTATTTCGACTACAATGTGCAGTCTTCATCAGTGTTATTTCCACTAAAGAACTTATCAAAATCTAACCCCCTTAAGTACTCAGCCCCTAGGTAAAAAAGTCAAGTTCATGAGTATAAAAATGAAACTACAATGTGTTGAATCGGAATCTTCCTAACTAATAAAAACCAAAGATTTAAGTAAACTAAAGGTGAAAAATCTATACAACTCTCTAATAAGAAAAATCCCAAAGTTAGTATCAGACAACAACACCGATTTCACCACAACAACAACTTGTTGATCATTGTCACGGCAAACCAAATGCTAATTCAACGTTTGGATAACTTGAACCAAAGTTAGAACAGTGTAAGTGAAATTTAATAACTTCCCATAGCAATACGGCAAAATCTCCATACAAACTTCAAACCACTTGCTTGGGAGGTAGGGCAAGTGGTTTAAAGTTGGTATGGAGATTTTGCCTTCATCAAACTTTTGGTTCGAACCTGCCCAACAAACAATCGTCTGTTGAAGAAACGACTTCTTGGCCATTGTATTCAACTGCATGCTTAATAGTACTTGTACTATTTTTAATAATAACTTCGTTCACACAAATCTGGAGAATTGATTCAACCACAATATTGAACTACTTGGTGTTGTATAAGATATGTCGAGAAGTTTTTATTCGACTTATATGAGTTCTAAAAGAGTTTATACGATATTTTTTTTTGATTATTCAGCGTTTATTAGACATCACTGCTTCCTTAAAACAGTGATGCTCTGTATAGGGGGGATGGGGGCAAGAAGTCCATACGGGGGGAGATGGGCCACCGTTCGTTTGGGCAATAATATCTATTAACTCAATCTAATTGTTTTTACAAATTTGTTGAAAATGCTTCTAATATGCATCTCCATGAAAACCGTATCAAAATTCAATTACACGTCTAAGATAATAATGGAAATGTAACATTAGCTCAAAATCTCTAGAATATTATAAGATATGCAGTCAAGAAAACAAGCATTGCATTCACTAAATTACATTTTACTACAGCGAGCAATACACGTAACTGTTGCTAAAAGAACTTATGTTTCTATTTCACATGATTCCTGAATGTTATTTTCTAGTGAAAACCTGTCAAAACGTTAACTTTTACTAGGGTGCTCATATTGCCCCCATATGGTTGTTGATCGGAGCAAAAACTGAAATTTTTCAAACAATAGTTTATTGAGTCTATCATATTTTATCCATATTTTGAACATTGTATATTATCAAACATATTCCAAAGCATGAGCATGATCACTGCTATCATACATTTATGAATGTTTTTCATGTGTTATGATGTGTTTTTCTTAGGGGGATCGTATTGCCCCTATATACCCTACGCTTGATCACATAACATATGTGGAACACGATTATCAAAAATCGACCCGATTTCAGTGATTTCAAGTGGTACACGCTATTTCAAAACTACCCAAATTTGGGTACAATCCACCCAGATCTGTCAAAACTGAACCTACCCAAAAATCGGTAAACTATGTTGGGAGTGACAAGTTGACAAATTAACAACGTCGATCGGATTCTTGTCGATGTTGTTCATTTGTCAACATGGAACTGCCAACACAGTTTACCCATTTTTGGGTAGGTTCAGTTTAGACAGATCTGGGTGGATTCTACCCAAATTTGGGTAGATTTGAAATAGCGTGTATAGAAGGACATCAATCTGTCAAATTGATTATACCAGTTGTAAAATGAGTAAGGGGGTAGTCAATTTTATTAAAATAATTCTATCGCGGTTTATAATTATGTGTCTTCTCAGTACTCCTGAGCTCATCTTTTCATATTTCCTTAGCAAAATACTTTCTTTATTTATAATAATATAGCTAGCTGTAATAAATTCATCATCTTGCTTCGCAATAAAAAAGAAGACATTATTTGCCGATTTTTTATGCGATGATCAGCCATCCAACTATTTAAAGCCCAATTTTGATATCAAAACGTATTGTTTTTTCTGAAATTATGTCTCCAAGTCTACAGGCAAAAAATGTGCGTCCCTCTTTTGCTCATAAACTGACCGCGACTGTGGAATAGTTCTAGCGACGTTTTTCATTTGCCTGTAGACTTCGATACATACTTCAAGTCTCCGCGTACATCGTACGGGTTAGGCAAAAGATGTGCGTCTATCTTTATAAACTGTCGCATTAATGGCCCTTCGCTCATTTTCAACTTCTATTCAATTTTCATACTGCCGTACTCTAACGGAACTATCCACCTACCCTCTTCTAAAGATCATTCTCTAGCTAATAAATTATCACACTAAAGCTTCATGTTAGCATTTCCAACCAACTCTGAAAATCGCTAACTTCGCGTATGAAGTAACATAAAAACACTTTGAATTTGGATGATGTTTTATCATCCAATAGCATCAAGCTTGAGGATGTTCACCACTTCAGAACAATGGCGATGAACTTCTATATAACGCGTGTAAATCGAATCGGGAAACGTATCAATATGGATATTATGATTCTCGTAAACCATTGCCAGGTTTTTGAGGTAGGGCATTGACCCAAAAAATCTCAAAAATTTAACGCACCCCTCAATGTACCCAGTTTTGCGGATTTTCTCAAATGTTATCAACGAATTAGAAATGCAAATGGTGGACGATGAATTCCGCGAGGTGAGAAACATGGATTTTCCAATGGATACAATTTTGAAGATGGTTTTGAATTTTGTAGAGTGGTACTGGCCACCAAACGGTGAATGGCCAAAACGCTTTTCCTTATCTCAGACGAATTGTGCCAACCCTACTAGCATTGCCACACTCCTCAGCGGCAGTTGAAAGGATGTTTTCGTCGATCACCCTAAACAAAACTAAACTGCGTAACAGGATGGATGCAGCTATGATGCAGGGAATCCTAGCGTCCAACGAATATGGAAAAGCCATCAAAATAAAAAAAAGGAATCACTGAAATCATAAAAACAGCTTTTTGACTATTTTCAAGCAACATTAGACTAAATAATAAAATCTGTTCGGTAAGTTCTGATCATTTCTCAGTTATTTTTATTTGAAATAATAGATTTTCCCCTCTTCT